GATACTGGCAATAGCCGTGCTGTAGGAGGGGGACAGCTGAAAACGGAGGCCTCCACCTCTGTTTAATGATGGACGATATCTCTTGGAGAAGAGACGAAACGTTTCATTAGAGAAGAACCCGTCCAGAAGACCTATACAATTTTTTTTCTTTTTGATCTTTCAGGACAGTGTAGCAGTGATCCAGTGTGTTGTTATCCCTGGTGGGACAATTAACATGTTTATATTTTGGAAGCTCGTGGCTAAGTTTAGCTCTGTTAAAGTCACCAAGTATGATGAAGTGCAAATCTGGGTTTCTTAGTTCCAGTGCAGTTATTTGTTCGGTCAGGTTTTGCAGTGCATCGCAAACATCTCCAATATGAGAGAAAAATAAGCCAGAGTACTCATCGGATTCGTTTATTGGGTTATAATGCCATGCTAGGATTTTTGACACTGTTTAAACAACCCCGAATGTTTGAGTTGTTGTCACAAAGTGACAGTTTCACAGAAAAGTGAAGCATAGTTTAAAAAAGGAGCATAGTACAAGAACAAGCTGTTTCAATAAAAACATACCAATATCACTGTTCTATGTAAAAAAAAAAAAAACATAAAAAACTGCGTAGGATGGGATTAAACCAGGTTCTTAAGAGTGAACCAATCATTGAGGAACTCTTTAATCCAGATATCCACACAAGCAAATCTCACACACATCACTTGGATAACAGGTAGAAATACACAACCAGGAATTAAAAGTCAGTAAAATAAACAAAACACTAAATAAAGATGTCTTGAGGCTTTAAAAAAAGAGGGAAAGATCCGATCACCAAAAATACTACTCCTGCTTGGTCACCTCAGAGAAAAATGACACAACAGCAAGAAAGAATAGAAAAAAAAAACAAAATAAAAAAGTTTGTAAATTCCTTCTGAACAAATAATAATTATAAAAATATAAAAGATGTTCTTGTGGCGAAGTGATAATGTACAGAACCTGTCGAGAACAAGACCTGGTGCTGTGGGGTCACAAGTCAGAATAGTGAAGCATACCAAATTTGATGTAAAGAATAAACTTTGTGTCACTTTGTGTTTGGACATTTTATGGCTTTAAGTGAACTTGAGAACCATCAGAGTGATGTAAGCAGCCAGTCACTTACAATTTCAGATTTCATCCAAAATATTCTGAACAGCTGTCAATAGAGTGCTGTCAACCTTTCCGACCCCAATTTATTTTGATCTTGACACTTAAAAAAAATACACCAATTTTCAGAAAAAAAATCTTCTGGTATATTGGTATTCGGAGTAGCTGTTCTGGCACATAGAACTGTCGTTTTCATTAACATCAACTACTGGACTCTTCAAAAATGTTGCAAAAAAATTACCTTAAAATGATGCATGAATGATATTTAAATGTAAACAAAGCTGAGGACTAATATAAAACCACACTGTTAATGCTGAGTCATGACTCTTCAGCCCTTCGGTGAACAAGCATGAACAATATGGTGGTTCTTTAGAAGAAAGACAAAACTGCCTTTTCAAATCAAAAAGACAAAAATAAGTAGGTCCTCTGGATAGGTTCTTCTTTAGTGCCTTTTCAAATAAATACACTTTTTCTATCTCAGTATCATCTATCATACTGATCTGTGAAATAAATTTCTCTTATCAGCTTGCGTTGAACAAACACTAAACACAGCAACAAATCTGAATAAACCATCGACTGAATAGTTTAATAAAACTTGTTGCTGTGATCTGAGACAAATCGTTCACATGGTAAAATTCAGGGTTTCTAAAATTTCTACTTTTTTCAGACTCAAGTTTTCTTACATTTTGTGTCAATTTTTGACCCATTTTTACACCAAAATAACTGAATGTGTGAATTTTTTTCCTAACATGGTGTTTTTTTTTAATCGGCACGTTTCAAACACTGCAAAAGTAAAAGACAAAACTGCGCACAAAAAAGTACACAGCAGGGGACAATGTCTAAAATACACAGTTTAAAATTTTTATAATTATTTTGACATCATCTTTATTATAAACCAATCAGTTTTTAAAACTATGTCCCAAAATGGGTAACGGTTGGTACGCTTTAGAGCTGGGCAGCTTTATTACGGTACACTGTATTTGTAACATATGGTTATTGATCTGCAGTTATACAACTAATCATTTTTACACAGCTGCTTATAAGACCTCTATAAATTTAGCACAAAAAGTAAGAAAATTTGTGTTTGGTAGATTATTTCTTTGTTGTAACAATGCTTCTTGGTGTTGGAAAGCCTGTTAATTTCTTTTTTATAATCTTTTTTCTTTGTATTTGTGGGATGAGCAGTAGAGCTGAGTATGTGGGTTGGGCACGTAAAAAATTAGCCAAATCCTATCAGTCAAACAGCTTATTTTGCTGAAGCTATTGACACTTCTTATGAGCTTCTGGTACCCCTGGTGGTACCAGAGTGACTGACACAATCACGTTGCCTGACTTGTGACAAATGCTGGTTGAAGAATGAGATGCCATCCCACAGCAGTGGGTGACCAGCATGTATACGGTTCTTCCACACTCTGCGGGGCTTGTTTGTTAAATGAATAAATTGTTAAATTGCCAACATGATTTGTTTTTCCAAATTTCTACTATCCAGTCTACCAACTAAGTCAGCAGCAAAGTAAGCTGTTTGGCAGAGAAGATTTGACAAGTTTTTCCCTTTACTGCTCATCCCACAGATACGTATTTCTTTACAAATCGGGCACCATTTAAACGGAAAACTACCAGGCTTTCCAACGGGATAAAATTTATAGCCAAGAAGCATTGTTACAACAAAGGAATAATCTACCAAACACACATTTCCTTACTTTGAATCTACATGTGTCCATGGCTTCTGAATTAAAAGCTCCTGTCATTAAGAAAACTTTATAAAACACTTACGAGCCTGGCCTGAGCCACCTTCTTGCCATCTTGGTGTGATTTATATAAAGATTAAAGTGGTTTGGTGGGTTAACGTCAACCCACCACTGTTATGCTTCTGAGCCGCCAAGCGAGGTAGTAACAGATGATTTATAAAAGAGTATATTGGCATCGTGGCTCGAGGGTGTCATGTAGTAACAACAGATGATCTATAACATGGTCACATGGTCGACATGACTGGCCATTTTAGGAAAAAAAAAACACCGGGGCAACTTAAGGAGGCTCCTCTTTGTGGACATTTTGTTGAACTGCTTTACGTAAGGAGCTAAAAATACTGTTGGCTAAAGCTTTAAAGCTTGATATGAACCAAACATTGTTATTGTGATTGAACTTCTTTAGAAAATCCAAGTTAGTTTGGAATTAATTTTTTATTTCCAGACCTTTTCCTTTCCACCCATACTACTCTTTTCAGGATTGTGTAAGCACCCTATAAAATTGACTAAACATACGAGAGCTGTGACCAGTTAAAAAGCCAAGCCACAAGCGCGCCTCGGTGTTGTGCTTTCATAACAGCTCAGCCTCACATTGCACAACTCAGTAGGGATCACTCCTGCACCTGTCATGCAGCGAACACATAAACCCTCAGGAGAAGCAAGGTTTTCCTGAAATCGAATCCCATTGACTTGTCCTCACTTCAAGCTTTTAAAAAACACGTGCCATCAAAAATACCTTTAATAAAAAAAAAAAGGGGGAACGTGTCATTTTCTCACAAAGCTTGGTTCACCTCATGAGTCATAAAATCTCAAGGCCACTACTGTTCCTGACTTTTTTCCAAGTCTTGAAAACAAGTTTCAGTTCAGTTGGGTTTGATTGCCGTCCATTTTCTAGTAATTATCCAACAACACTGTGGGTCTCAGGACCATATCTGTCCAGGAAGCATTACATCGACATACTTTACTATTTTATACATTCAGTAACATGGATTATTAAGGTTGTTTATGACTGGCTCGTAAGATATTTCTATTGCTGGTCATGCAGCAAGCCATGTTTAAGTGCAGGTTTTAAGGCAGAGGTTTCATGCAACAATTGTCAGTACAGATGGACAACAAAAACCGGTCCATGAATCCTTGAACTTAAGTGTGTCCAGTTATTACCTAAATGTTCACGTCTGTGCAAAACATTTGCCACATGACAGCATTGATTTAAATACTTCATTGAGAAGAAGTCATTTGGAAAGTTAAAAAAAATGCGTGTAACAAGTTCGGTGGTACCACCACCACATCAGTGCCATGTTCAAGTGGGTTTGTCTTAACGTTCAGTAGTGGGTAAATCTGAACGTACTTTGGTTCTTCTGTTTTCTCGTGCTGCTCATCTGGCCTGACTATAACAGTCTGTGTGGACGATCTCAAAGGGCTTTGGCACTCGTGGTGTGGGAGGTGTTGTGGGACACGGGTTTCTGTGGGTAGCGGCTGTAGTAGTACACCTGGAACAGGATGGCTAAGTCCACAAAGACCTGCAGCAGGCCGCACGTCCAGAACTGCACAGGAGCCTGTGTGAGCAGGAAGTAGCCGGTTTTAAAGGTGTCACCGCTGGTCCACATCAGCACCATCTTGATGCTGAAAGGAAAAGAGAGAAAGTGTCACAATATTATAAAATGTTTTAAAAGAACTGATTGGTGGTCAATGCTTTCTGTAGGGGACTGAAGTATTGTGAAGAAATGCAGGCTCAATTTATAGTGGATCCATGAGGACTGAAACTGGAAATATGGGTGTCCAATCCTGAGGGCCGCCATCCTGCATGTTGTACTTGTTTCCCTGGACTCATTCTACGTGCTTCCATCAACGTTTTTTAATACGCATTTTGAAGTATCTCATTAGAAAAGGTGAATGGAAATGGTACGATTCGAAAAAACTTCTACTAATTCGCAAAAAAGTTGATACGCTCGCTTGAGGTGATTTTTGGGTTTTTCGAAAAAGAGTTAATGCACAAAAGGAGAGATGGAAACACATTTGCCAAATAAGTTCTGATGTAGCAAACATTTACCTCACATGGTTGATAAAACTGGTACTGGTACCAGAGCGACTGCAGCTGGACCCTCCTCCCGCTGTCGGTGTCTTCTCAGTTATTCCCGTTACGTGAAGAGAATCACATTTCTTTCTCTATGTCTACAGACAGCAGTAACATCGCCAGAACTAGTTGATATGACAGAATAATTACAACTTTCCTGATAGTAACATGTTCTGCATTGTTCTGAGATGTGCGGACCCTGCGAGTTTACGACTTGTACTTCCTGTTTACTTCAGACATGCGTGTAGCCTGGTTAATTCGCTTCAAGACAGTTAATGGAAACACGTCTAATTTGCGTTTCTTCTTTATTTTCTTCCTTTTAGTGAAATTTAAAAAAAAATTGTTCAAAATTCGAATTTAAATTGGGTGGAAACACGTGTAGTGACTGAACTACCTTTGATGTTCTACAGAAGCTCTTTCATTCATATCAGGTGTGATGGAGCAGAGAAACCTCTAAAACATGCAGGATAGTGGCCTTCGAGCCACCAGAACTCCTCCCAAAAAAAAAAAAAAAAATATGAAGCTTAAAGTTTAGGATAGAGCAATGACCTAGTAAGTTTTATGAATGTGCAGAACAAATTTTCTGTAAGTTTTGTTTGCACACAATCGAATGGAGGTGTAAGAATACATGTGATGACCACTTCCTGTCAAAGACTCAGTCAGAAACAGAGAAGAAACAAGCTGAGTGAGCCAGACATGCCTGCAAATTCAACATTCAGCTATCGGTAGAGGCAAGGCATGAGTTTATCTAAGATTTTGTTGCAGTGAAAAAGAAATTTCTTTAGAAAAACTGAAAAAGCAAAAATGAAAAAATGTGCATAGATCCTATTCAATTGGTACACAACTGTTACAGTTTGTAGATTTTATCTTTGAGACATGTTATGTGAGATTCTATGTTTTACACAAAGAATGTTTTTAATCTTTTAAGACAAATAATTAAAAAAAGCTTGCAAAAGCATTTGCTGTTGTGCTTAATCACAGCAATTTGTTATAATAGTGAAAGTGAAACAACAGCCATTAAATTTTGAATTCTGTGACTATCCATCCATCCATCCATTTTCTTCCGCCTATCCGGGGTCGGGTCG